GAGAAAGACGAAAACTTTTTACCCCAATCATCAGGTCAAGTGACCCAACCACTGCTGAAAACAATTCTGACATGAACATGTCTCCTCCATGGGACTGGTCGAGGGAGGGTGAACTTCCACGCTAAAGCAAAACAGTATATGACCTCTGCTTTAACTCTCCCCCACACTTTTTTTTTTTGAGAGATTTTTTTGCCTTAGGGCATATGTGTTCACTGGAGAAAGAGAGACAGAGACAGTGAGAGGGAAAGTGAGAAATCACATCCCGGGGGATGGCCATGCCACAATCCCTTCATCTTCCTTTTCCTCCTGGGATCTTGGGCATGCACACACATGGTTCTGGGGCAGCCACACACAGGCACCTGGAATGATTTTCAAGCCACTGAGTCTGGGACCCCAGTCAGTCATGTGGGAGTCCAGTGATGTAACTGCTATGAAATCGGCTGGTACCTTACTTACCCTTTTAAAGTTCTTTTTGTTAGACAAGAATTTGGGAAATGCCCTTTGGATGTTAATTCATCATCTTCCCAACTCTCTGGCCACCTGAATAGGGCAAACTTTCATTTTCACAAACAATTTTTCTCAAATATTGGCTTTTAAGGTGTGAGTACCTGAACTTGGGTTCAGTATCAATTTCATTTGGTTACAATTTCAATCTTGACAGCTGCCTAAAAAGAATCATAAATGATTCCCCACCACCACCATCCCCGTTCTATCAATATGCAGTGTCTGCTTTGGGAAATTATTTTCTCTTTACCTTAAAAATGGCCACTAGGGAAAGTAAGGTTAATTTCAGATTCAGGTATGGGGCTTGACATAAACCAATCTGCAATCTTTACTTCCTTGGCCATGGCCATAGGTTTATAAGCTGTCTGGTAAGTTGCCTGCCAGGAAGATTGTTCAGACAGCTGGGATATAGCTGGGCTATAACTCTCTCACAAAAGAGAGCTAGGCTGAGACTGAGTACACATTCAAAAATTTGAGCAGAAAGATAAAAGTCAGATCATTGATAATTTTGTTAAATTGCCAGCTCCCACAAAAAATAAAGTCAGTTTCACATATTTGGTTCCAAATACATCTAGTTGCTATGTGAGTATTACGAACTCCAAGTTGCACAAATAAATACTGAAGGAGTGAAGCATGTGCCCAAGGTAACTCAAAAATTGACTTGGAGGTACAAAAGTTTGAATCCACATTAGGTTCTAAGAAAGACCTTAAAATGGAATTAAAGTATGAGTTTACTTTGGTGCAAAAAAAAATGTTGAAATCTACGTTTTTTTTTTTTTCATAACATGCATTTGCACCTTTTGAAGACACTATGTACATTCTAGCTATCACCACTCTTACTGATGCTGAAAATCCATGTTTTTGTCTATCTTTCATATCCACTCCAAACTGTTTTCATCTGCATAGCTATTGTTGAGTTAATTGTTAGAATAGCTAATGTTTTTACAATTCTACTTGAAATACATTCAGTAAGATTCAAGGTCAGTGTGAAATGTCTTCCTTTTCATAGAATACAGTTGAATCCCAAGACTACAGAATTCAAATGTCTTAGTTGGAAGTGACCCAGAAGGCAATGGACTGAAACTTCCGTGGAAACCTGCTGCTCCTCATCCAACAACTTGGATAGAACAACCTTGGAAGCTGCCGCTCAGATTGTTATAGAGGAACACTCCATGGGGATGGGAGGGAGAGCTATTCTGAGCCACTGCATCTGTTAAAAGCCCATTTCTTTCCCAAGTAGCTGGTCTGTAGAGGTTTCTTACTATGAACTCTGTAGTATAAATATTCCACCTGCCTAATGTGCGTAGTGTGAGCATAGCCGTAAATAAGAAATGCAAAATTTCCCCCTCGATTTGGGATTACTCTCTTTTAAACATTAATAATGAAAAATGTGAGGAAATATGAGGCCATTTATAAATTTTTTTGTATAAAATCTTTTGTTGCTTTGTACATATATGTCTTCTGATCTGGTGGTAAAGTGTATAACAAAAAATTACATTGATGGATTTTAGGAGTTTCTCATATTTATTACCAATCTGCATTAGTTAAGTCTTTTTTTACAATTCAAAGTGCAAAATATAGTGCCAGAAAGTACAAACAAATTGGACATTGACATGTAATTAACATTAAATCATCGCTCATTACCTTGTGATAATATACCATGACATTTGCTGCTGCTTTTAATGAATCCAAAGGCCGTGGGGTCTAATTTTTATTAAATTTCCATTGAGCTTATTATATCCATATTACAAAATTGTTGGCACTCAACTCTTCATTTTCAGGCCTTAGCCAAGTTAGGTATGAGAGATCTTATTTCACTCACACCAAAGCCACAAAAGCTTCCTCCCATTAATAGTCTAAATCATTTGAGTAAAAGGAGGTCAAAACTACCAATTAAGGAGATCTCTTTTCCTTGAATGTATTGTGCTGTAACTGCAAAGAAACACTTAGCCACTTGGCAACTTGATGGAGACGTATACAAACACCTCTGCCATCTCCTCCGGCCAGCATTTTTTCCTTTACAGGAGCTCTCGGATTTCCAATTTCTGTTGCTAAGACATCACTTATGCTCTCTCGAGGGTACTTCATGCAATCACATCATTATTGTGATATGGACAACTGCTTCAAACCGGCTATAGGAAAACATCCATTTAGACACATAGGAAGGTGGGGCGCCTAAGTACAAGACGAGCCTCATGGTTATGGGCATAGTAAGGGCAAGGTGCTGGGTACACTGCACCTTGAGTATTAGCCATAGAGGGTGCACCAAGTGCAGAGGACCTAACAGCAGGAGCAACAGTAGCTGGAATTGCCTCTGTTTTTCATGATAACCACATACCAGTGATTCTAAGAAACATCAGTGATAAAACATTCCTCCAAGAAAAATTTGTGATAGTCTAAGTTTGAGATGCTAGTGTTACTATTAATTATTTAAAATGAATAGGTAAGCTTCACATAAGTACATTTTATTACTTACCACTTAATAAATATTATATTTGGAGAGGAAGTTAAGACAGAGAACCTCAGATATACTCTTGGCTCCTGAACATGCAGTCTCGAATTTTTGTGTTTCTTTTCAAAGGTAAGGACTCCAGTGCTAGCTTTTTCCTTCATAACCACTGCTCTCAGTGTGTACCTGAGGTCACTGCTGGATGTGTGAATGCGTGCCATCCCAGCTACCGCAGACACCAGTCATGCCCTAAGAGAGCTCAGGTAATTCCCGACCCTTAGGAGTGTCTTAAGTTTTTAACTAACAAAATAGAAATTTGTGATGAATTTTCTGGCAGAAATATTTGGAGACATTTTTAGATCTTATCTTCGGATTGCAAGGATATTTGGAAATTGCCAGAACTGACTCTGAACAAAAGACATAGACAGTGTTATAATTTCTGTAATATATTATGAAATGAAATCCTTATGACTCTTCATCAAACGTATTCTTATGTTTAAAATCATTACTGGGCCAGTCCCATAGCACAACAGTTAAGCCTTGTGCATGGAAAGTCATTCACATGGCCGACTACAGTTTGAATCCCAGCCTCAGCATCTTAAAAACCACACCGGGTTCATGTGTACGCATCTCCCGGAATTCTGATTGGATGGAGAAAAGAGAAAAAAAGGATTTGAGACGAGCACACCCCTTTGAGGGGTGCCTTCTAGCTCTCTTTTGTATACAACTTCTAGCAATTAAAAAAAATGTTTATAAAAACCTGAAAAATAAATAAATAAATGAAGTGTCTTCTATTTATATGTCTTTGCTTCATGGAGAGAAATAATAGCTTAACAAATATTAATTTAAACATTTAGCCGTCCTGTGGCCTGGTGCCTAAGGGGCTTGGATTACACATGCCAAACCACATGGTTTGAGCAACTTGGGTAAACAACAGCAGGCACATGTGCTTGCATGTCCAAAATCCCCACAGGAGGGAAAAGTGGGGCAGAAAGAATTGTGTCTACACTGTCCCTCAAGAGGGGTGACCTCTCGCTTTCCCTCCCTCTCTCTCATTCCGCCTCTGTCTCTTACCCTCTCTGTCTCTCCATGGAGAACACATGTACTCTCTAGCAAATGAAAAGATAATAACAAATAAGTTATTTTTGCTGAAAATGAGAGAAGATACATAGATAAATATGATTGTATTATCTTTTGAAATGAAGGTATACATAAAAATCAGCTTTGGTAACTTCATTGATAAATTTGAGAAGACTCAGGATCATAAATTTTAATGTCATCATTGCTGGAACAAACCAATGCATAGCTTCATTTCTCTCTTTTTACAAAAAATAATTAATGTAATTAAAAAGAAATTATCGCATGTTATTTTAGTCTGGGAATGTATTTGTTTTAGCCTAAGTACATACAAAATGTTTAATAATAGAATCTTTTTACATTTGTATTTTTATTATTTTTCATTTGCCTTGTAAATATTACTAAATATAACTTTATCTATTATGTACATGTATATTGGGGATATGGTGTGAAAAGATCTGTATTTGGCATCAAATTCACTAGCTACATCACTGTTCATGGAAAATCAGCAGACACCAGGAGAATTCTGATTGGGGATTCTCACCCTGCTAGTGGTGGGCAATATGTCAGAAAATTACTTTTGGAGCAAAAGTACAAGAAAAGCCAAACACCATATGTAAACACAATGTGTAACAATAATCTTTTCAGCTTTCCATAGAAAATGTAATGAAAAACTCCTCTGGTATGGGAACTTACAGTCACAGGTGAGAAATAAATAACCCTGGGTCAGATAAGGACTACCATAATAGGAATTTGGGGAATACATACAGTCTGGTGAGAGAATGCTGATCAAATATAAGTCAAAATCAGAAAGCATTAGAAGGAACTAGAAATTATCATTGGTAATTTTTCAAATCTGCAGGGGAACCGATTTGACAGTATAAATATGTAGTAGTGGTTGGTGGTTAAGATGAAGCTAAAAGTTTTTCTGTTAACCAGTTACATTCAATTCATAAATAAGGGCACTTACAGCTTATTTCAAGTCGGATGAAGTCTTTAATGCCAAGATTTTCTAAAAAAACTCCAGATAAAGCCGTGGTTTTAAAGAAGAAGGAAATATCGGCACTGAATTCCGCGTGGAAGGTAGGAAAGTGGAGGTAAGAGGCTTCTGTGTAAAATGAGACCGCATTCCAGAAGTGTCCTGCAAATGAGAAAAACCTTAAGCATGGTTTGTGGTTTTCAATGGGTTCCGGGAAAGCACTGAACATACGGATAATTTTCAAAACTAGGGAACACTGCAGGGTAAGGGGATAAGGGAGTAAAAACATCTTGTGCTCATGTCATGCAGAAAGAAGGCTTCTTTCAATTTAGTACTCACGGTCACCATAGCAACGCAAGGGACCAATTCTCCAAGCAGCTTCTGAGTTTGATCTGTTAGTATCAGTGATAACTATCTGAGTGACAGGCAAGTGGTCTTTGAAGGAAAGAAAGCCAGTATCGTTTGTCCTGCAAAACATAAATTTAAGAAAAAGAGGACAAAATGTGGATAATGTAGGGATTTTTTTTGCCAAGACCGCTCTTTTCACAAGTGATTTGGGTGGTTGCAACAGGGAGGTGGGAGGCGGAGGAGGACAGAAGGCCTTTCATCTCATGAGTGTGTGAGAAAGGCTGGAATGCCAATTACAAAATCCATGGCCAGGTTCCAGAAACAAGTAGATGTTACATCTTTCCTAAATGTGCTTGCAGAAACACAGTTTACAAAGATTGGTGCTGCCTGACATGGCTAAAGGCACCCCACCCGCCCAATGTTGTGCTAATGTGGCACTAAATATCACCTCTTTTTTTTCCATAAAGAGATCACCAATCTCTGTAACTAACTTGGAATAGGCATCACAAATAGCACTTGAAAATCACTCCAAGGGCTTGTTTCATCCACCTGCCAACAGATTTTAATCAGCTTTAGATGTTTGTTATCACCTTTTAACTCTAGGTAGAAAAAAGTCTTTTTAGTCACTAACTGATTGCTTTTCATTTTGTTCTTCCTATTACAGGTGTAGGTAGTTTAATGACTCTGATTTTTTTTTTTTTCTATTTGTGCAAAAGAGGACTTGACTAGTCAGCTTTGAACAAGAAAGTTAAAAATGAATAGGGGTAAGCCATTGCTTGTTCTCTTTTAATTTGTGTTTTTTGGACTCATCATAAGGTCATTGCATTTGTCTAAGCAGTAACAAAACTGGACCCATATGAGAAGTTCCTCAGTTATTGTCTGGGGACCTTTCCATACACACCAAGCATGAGTTCCCATGATTCAGGCTGGCGAAGGATGGGGTGGATTGTGAAATGAGGACTCTGCTGGGGTGCCTGTTTCACAGTCTCTCTCTCTCTCTCTCATTTTTCTCTAATAGAAGAAATATATGAAAAAGAAAAAAAAAAGAACAAAATTACTGAATTTGTAACTACATTGAGTCAGAACTATATGAAGATATTTATGTTCCAGTACAATACTCCTATGCAGTGGGTGTCATTATCCCCATTTATAAATGGGGAAACTGAGGCTCAGAGATGTTGCTAATTTCCTAAGGTCACACAGTATAAAGGACAGGGACCAAGTCACAGTCATGATATTCCCAGTATTTACCTATCTTGTATATTTAAAGACCTATCTTTTGGGACCAGCAGATGACGTAATGGTTATGTTACTAGACTCACACACAGACCTGGAGGCTTGAAACTCATGCTGAGCATGTGTACGTACATACCAAAAAGTCTGAGAGGAGAATGGAGGAGAAGAGTTGTGGCATGGCCATTTCCCCGAAGGGGGATTTCTCACTTTCTGTTTCTCTTTATCTCTCCGGTGAGCACTCATACCCTATAGAAAAACTCTCTCTAAATAATAATAATAACTAATAATAAAGATATATCTTTAGAAGCAAACAGATTTATTCTGGAATCCCTGATCCTCAGATTCCAACTATGGTAGCTTTGGCAAATAATTTTACTTCTAAGACTCTTGATGTGCTCAATTTTATAATGGAAATGACATTTACATCTCAGAGTTATTGAGAAAATTAGATGAGATTATTTAGTCACTTTTCATAGAGCCTGATCTACGGTAAATGTTCAAAAGTGGTAGTGGTGGTACTTATTTTAGTTCTCATCTTTGTCCCTGACCTACTCTGTAGTCTCAGGCACATCGATTCATTTTTTTATCCAGCCTGCGATGATTCTGCATTGGAGATGTCATACTACGCAGCACATGTGGAAAATTAAATCTGAAGATTTAATATCCAACTCAAGAGATTTAGAGAAAAAGCATGCATTAGTTCATCTTTACTATAAAAAAATCAGATATTCACCTGCACACATACCCCTAATGGCCTATTAACCAAAAAAAAGTAGGAAAATGCATTATATAATATTTGTAATTTGAGTACTTATATTTAGAGGCTATTTAGCTTTCTGGAATAAAACTTTTGTCACAGTTTTAACGCATATCTATGTATGTTACATAAACACTGAATAAAATCGAGTCCTTTTCATATTTCTATCTTTTCAAGCAGAGATTCTAAAGTAAATTCCAAATATTCATAGTGAAACGAAGACAAAATCCATTCTCTCCTGAAGAAATTCCTCAATGCTATAGGATTTTGTTTCTCTCCACTTTTATTTTCAAAATGAAAATGGTGTATTCTGAAGCCTGTCCATCAACACTAATAATTGCCTTTCTTACACACTATGGCATTTTGTCTACATCAATTTGAAGGCCTTGTGTCAAACTGTGGGAATATACAAATAGCACTCTAAGAATAAAAATCTCTCCAAAATATCAGAGAAAAAATGATATTTAGTTTGAGGGTTTAAGAGTGCAAAGCAGATTATCAAAAGCCCTTTTTATCTGAAAATTTAAAAAAAAAAAGTAAGTTTCTCTCCAAAGTTACTTAATTCAGGAAACACAGACTCCAAAGTCCACAGGAGCCAGGCAAGTCATAAAAGTGAGTGAAGCCACTTTGCGTTAGTAATAAATGGAATGAGACACATAGTTTCAGCAGGGGTGGGGGAACACTAGTAGAAGGCCAAGCAGGGATATTAATGTAAATCTTTTCAATTATGAAATCTTGCTGATAGATTTTAAAGTATTTAAAAAATCAAATAAAGTATGGTGAAAATAACAACAATCAGTTGACCAGGAAAACCCACATGATGGCTGTGTTAACCTCTTGATAACCTAGTCGTCAGAGGGAACCTGCTCTTAGGATCACCTTGAGAATCTGACTGGGTTTGATTTCATTTGTAAGTAACAGGTACAATGTCTCCATTTCAAAATAATGGGTAAGATGGGACCAGCAGTTGGCATAATGGCTGTCTCTAGACTCTCATGTAGTCGACTGCAGTTGAAGTCCTGGACCTGGTGGCTCAAACTCATGCTGGGCACATGTGCGTGCATGCCCAAGACCTTAAGAGCAGAATGAAGGAGAAGGGATTGCAGCGTGGCCATCCCCCCTGGGGGGATGATTTCTTGCCTTCTGTCTCTCTCGGTCTTTCTGGTGAGCACGCATGCCCTATAGAAAAAACTTCTCAAAAAAAGAAAAAATAATAGGTAAGACACTTGGGGTGATGATGGTGGTGGTGGATTTTAATTATAATAAAATGACCCAGAAGCCAAACAGTGATGTAGAGAAGCCCCATTAGAAAGTCTGGGGTTCACATCCCAGGTTGAAACTTTTGTACATACCGGGTTAACACCCTCAAACAAAGTTTGAAGTACCACATTGATGCTTGCCAATAATCCTACTTTAGCATTGTTTAAAGAGTAATTTTTTCTCTTTTGCTGTTTATTTAAAAACTTCTACCTAAAAATGACTCAGGGTATTAGGTGACAAGGAACTTAAAATGAGCTGAAGGATCACATGGCTGTGAATAAAGCAAATGCATATGTTGACAATGGTGATATATGAGGGGACTTCTAAAACTTTTTGGATAGGGGTCAGCACATGGCATGGTAGTTAAGGAGCTGGACTCCCACATGGTTGCCTGAAGTTCAAGTTCCGGACCTGGTAGCTTGAAAATCATGATAAGTATATGTGCACGGGTACCCAAAATCCTGAGAAGAGAGTGGAAGAGAAGAGATTATGGCATGGTCCTACCCACATGAAGGATAACTTCTCATTTTCTTTCTGTCTCTCTCTCTCTCTATGTCTAACACCTGAGCTCTATGGCAAAAACATGAACTAGAAAGCTTCTGGAGAAAATGGAATTAAAATGTAAGTTTCTATTGGTGCAAGAAAAATTTTAAAGTTCACACTAAATTTTTAATTATTATATGCATTTTCCATGAACTTTTTGAAGAGCACACAGATGCATCGTCTTCACCAGGATAATATTTCATCCTTTTGTGCTCCACATTGACCAGACCATCTCTGCAAACTTGTTTCAAGTTCCAAGCATAAGAAACATAAGGAGAAAGAAAAAGATAGTCTGAATATTTATTTAAGTTTTCAGTAACTATTTTTTCTACTTTGGGAAGAAACAAAAATCAGGTCTTAGTATATGAAGATGGCAAAGGATGACTCAATGTGACTTTATTAGTAAGCTAACATGATCCTTAAGACTTTATTGATATAAAATGGATTAAAATACTTTCAGAGATGGAGATTTTTGGAGGCATAATTTGTGGAACATTCTCTGGACACAAAGAAAGAAACAATTTGTAGTGCCGTAACTGAATTTCTTTCCAGATTGCCCTCAGTACAATCCTGGAGGCAAGTAGATTACAAGACAAAACGACTGGATTATGTAGCACATGATTGTGATTCAAAACTTTAGATGATGATGACTCTCAAATACTTATTTCTCATTCTCTGGAACAAATCCAATTTTGCATTCTCCAGCTCTCCAAATGTTGAAAAACTCACACCCCATCCTTCCTCAAAATCATCCTAGAAGTTTCTACATCTTCCTTTTCTTCTTTGTCCTAATTTCCTTTTTTGCATATAAATCTTTCTGATATTTATTCATAGATGAGGTTACTTCAAGAAGTTCATGGAAGATGGAATTAAAGTACTCATTTAGGTGGGTGTACAAATTTTTGCTACTTTGTAATTACATTTCCAGTAGTAGTCAGGAGAAGAATGATAAGAACTGAAAACATGGAGATTTGAAGCAGGGAGTCAGTTTACGTAACCGTCCGCAAGGCCTACACAAAGGCTGTGGGGGTCTAGAAACAATAAAACTGAAGTTGGGAGGATAAGGAGTAACCACTTGAATGGAGAAACCAAAAGAAGGTGAACTTAGGTTATTTATCAAAAATGAGGGAGTGGGACCAGCAGTTAGCGTAATGGCTATGTCGCTGGACTCCCATGTGGTCGACTGAGCCCCAGACCTGGTGGCTTAAAACTCACACTGGACGTGTGTGCATGTGTGCCCAAGATCCCGAGAGGAGAATGGAGGAGAAGGGATTGCAGCGTGGCCATCTCCCCCAAGGGGTGATTTCTCACTTTCTGTCTCTC